GAGAGAGAGAGAGAGAGAGAGAGAGAGAGAGAGAGAGAGAGAGAGAGAGAGTATCCAAGTATTAACTTGTTAGCAAAGTATTTTCGGCTAGAGAACCTCGCTTCTTTTTATTAGAAAAAGGTTTGGGATTTTGTAAATAACGCCAGCGTCCGATGAAAAAACCACAGGAAAACGATGCTAAACAACAAAAACCTCAACAAAGTCTTATGAAAAGTGTTAAGTACGTATAATTGAACCAACCCAATCTCCCCACTGCTCATTCCGTCCACTTTACATTGAACATTAACCCTGCACATACATCATTGCCAGACTCTGTGCCGGTTTGAGATTTACTTTGGAATGTCATTGCAGCTGTTTCCCCTAAACTGCCATAAAGCTTGCCTCCCTCGCACAGAGAAGAATTGATACATACCACTAATAGTAGTAATAGACAAAAAGGGCCTTTAGACACGAAAGACATAAACTCCAAGGATAGAAAGAATAAAAACAAGGCAGTAGGGAGAAATATGTGGGAAAGAAGACAAATAAATTCTTTCTTATATTTTCTCAAAATAGTAAAAAACAAATTTTTCTCATAATTAAAAAACCTAACAACTTTATGTTATTATTATATCTACCTTTTGACGCAGAGGTCAGTGAAAAAGTTAAAAAATATACAGGAAGCTTTCAAAAGTTAATACGATTATTAAAGTAATATTTAGTGATTAAAAAAACAACAACAACAACAACAAAAACCCAACAACAACAGGTTAATACAAACACTTGGTCAATAAAAAAAAGATATTATGAGCAGAAGTGAGTTCGTGTAGTATATTAATTATTATCTGATGTCATGGTCGTGGTAGAGGGCCGCCATCTTGTATGTACAGCTCACAGCGCCCTCTGTCCACAGCGCCCTCTGTCCACAGCGTCCCCTGTCTACAGGCGAACCTTCATGTACGGGTTGTCCGGCTCAAAGGCTTGGTTGTACACGGGTGGGTTGTCGTATGGAGACATCTTGGGGTCCTGGGGGAACAGAAAACGGTGAAATGGTGTGGGTTCATCGCCCCGCCCCTATAAACAATATAATA